TTATATCGGCCATGGGTGCCCTCCCATTAATTATTTTCTCTGCTATACGATATGCTTTGTATATTGTTGTCACATTTTAAAGATCAGTGCGCTAGGTCTCCTGAGCTTCAGCCAGGTCTTCCAAAGTATTCTGCCCGAATCTTAGATACTTGGATGAGGTCTGCATAGGCTGCTCTTAATAGTGCATTTTGCCGCGTTGTCCGAGAGTACTAGTTGGTAATTCGCCGAACGATAACTATTTGGACAAGCACTTAGCATTCATCGTGTCGCAGCACGACAAGAGACTATGAAAACCGGTAATTTTTCTTCTCGGGCCACTTTCTTGCCGCTTCAATCTCAGTATTTTGCAGTCACAACTGAAGTTAAAACACTCTAGCATCTTTGTTCGGCTTTCGTAGATGGTTCTCGTCTTTGTACCGCATAGGAGTGTTGCCAGGATAAAAATCGATAAATCTCCGGTTTTCTGCTGAGAAAACAAATGTTATAGCGGGCCGAAGGCCTAACTGACTGGCTGGAAGTCATATCATGGATCTGAGCGTTCTTTTCAAACTTAATTCCAGATTTTTCCTTTAGTTTGGAGGCGAGTTTCATTGACGCTGATGATTTATTCGTTGCAGTAACGACATAGGGCAGGTCGATACCTTACCACTTTATTTTCTGTTTTGACGTTCAATTCGATGTTTGTGTAGTTGGACGAATGAAGACCCTTTCTCCGTTGTAAGCTTACTTCGCGCATACTGTTGGTCGCTCAATCAAGCCCAAAGGGGTTATAAATACTGCAAATGGAGACTCACAGAATTGCCCTCGTATGTTGAATGTTAGTTAGTTATCTATTAGTTCGGTAGAGGATGAGAATTGCTCCGTACCTTCTCAATATTGCAGTAATAATGAAACAAAAGGGAGTAGAAGCTAGGTCATTTTAACAGTTTAACTCGATCTTTAATCGCTAATAGTTCCCAGACTTTGCAAGTGCTTGTGACGCAAGCCATAATACCATCGTGGATTCTACAAACCATCTGCTTTAAACGCGCTGGACATCTAAATGTGAACGAAGGCAAGTCTGCCGCCTCATTGCTTCGTCTATGGATGTTCACGTCAGAAGAGGGCATATTCCGCACATACAGCCGCGCTTTCCCTGGTCGGAGAAGCTGGCCTGGCTGAAAACCACTATGTCCAGGCTGTACCCCACCAGCTTACGGTTGACGAGAATTTTCATCTCCTCTGGTTGTGTGTTTGGTGCGTTTGTTGCTTACAGTCAGCATTGTGATGCATGGCGCCTTCCCTCAATGGTTCAATGCGTCAAGACAATTCATGAGCCGTGCGAATGGTTCCGGACACAATGAGCCCCCTCCCCACAGTCTGACTGGTAGCCTGTGGGATTTAAGTGCAACCGGACAATCACGTATACACATGCATCATTTGAAGGCGCCCCCTTTTGTATATGCACTGGAAATGCCACTGGAAATACCAATTCTCGGCTAATGCAATCCCCACCAATTATAAAACGCTTAGATTTGTCCCTGTTCAAGCGGCTTTCACCACATGAATGACTCTCCCTCTCTCAGGCCTGACATTAAATCGTCAGCACGGATCATGACTGCTTTCGCCAGTGGCCACCACCATCTGGGCAGCAACTTTGAGTTCGTGAGAAGAGTTACCCTGGCAACCTGTAGAGAGAGGCACAGGGGCCGGAATGGGGTTTGCGTAGTTTACAGTACTTGTGTCCACGAGCATGAAATCATATCAAGTCATCTGTTCTACGATAGTTTCTCGTGTATGCTTAAGCAGTGCTTCGGTGCGGCTAGAATTTAGTAGGAATACGGCCCGAAATAATCCGGCTGCCTACAAAGTCACTGGCTTTCAGGGCGTACAACTTGTTGTGTCGAGGCAGGAGGGTGGGAGAAAGGTTAGCGTGAAGAATACAGTGTGGAGACAAATTCACACCAACTGTCTGGTGCAGTTTAGTCCGTCGGTTA